AGTTATGAAAAATAATGGCACGAAAATGTTCACGATTCAATTCCATTTTTTGAAAGAGAAGAACTTTTCAATTTACTGTCAACAACACAAATGAAGCTATAATGGTAAATCGTCTGCTGAATTTATGTTTAAAAATATCAAACTTTCGATTAAAATCGTCTGCGGTCGCCTAGCAACACTTACTGTTGCCAAGGCCAGAAATATAAATAGCAACCCTCGTATTTGGTATTTAGCCTATACTGCTCTCAACACAGAATATTCATTTCGGACGAATGATGGAAACAAAATCACTCACATTTTTAATAATTTCAATTGACATATTTTAAATAACAAAAATTAGTAATGAAGCACTTTTAATGTGTTATGCATAAAGTAAACTTAAATAATTCTTAAATTTATAATATTTTATTTAAAAAATTGCCAGAAACGAATTTTTTTTACATACTATTCTATTAACTGTCATTCTTTCCACCACCCCTTCGGGAAGGGTTTATTCGATGAACTAAACAATGAAGATAAACAAATTTGTGAAGGATCCGAAATTCCGGATTATGAAAAGATATTTTGCGAAGGGTCTGTTAACCGACCCAAATTTTTTCTAAACAGACCCCTGATAAGAATGTAAAGTATACTAAACAGAACGCATAGCCAAATCTTCGAACAAAAATAAGCACCTTTAAAGTAATTTTTAAGCCCTCAAAAAATATTTTTAAGCACTATATACATTAACAAAATGCGAAATGATTTTCAAAGACTTTGCATGAATGTGATAAACTAGCTAGTTTCTGACAAAACTCTTTTCTGGATTATATTAGCCACCAAACACAAAATACAGCAGAGTTGCAAATGAGAGAGCAAGAATCTCACCGAACCCAGCTCAGTAGTCACTCCCAAGTATTTCATAAAACATGTAACATGATTGGCTTTATCATACGTTACGGACAGATGGCACACGAAAATGGATTGTGGTTGAATGAATTGTGAAAACGTTGAATAGAACAATGTGAAATCCACACTTATGCATTATATGCAGTGAAAATCGACATGATAAAGAAAAAAAAGTCTCATTTTCGGAAAGGGAAAATTAAGCACTTTTTGAAAACAGCTAAAAGGCCTTTTGAAAAACAAAAATTGAAACACTTTTTAATAGCGCTACGCACATTGCTAAATAAACAACAATAAATTCTGCTTATACTGAATGAAATTTAACTGTCTCATAAATTTAAATCGATAATAAAAGTGCAATGATGATTTAACTTGTCACTGGGTCAACAATGAGCTAAAGAGTTTAATTTATTATAACGTTCTCATCATTATTTTTTTCAATGACATATAGTCCCTATTTAGTACTAAACAAAATTCTTATTTTTGAATTTTCATTTTAACCATATCATCACACTTGAAAAGATCGAAAAATTTTTCACTTTTATTCACACTATTTTTTCAGTTCAAGACCCCCCTGGCAGAATCACACCAACATTGTTGCAGAATGTTACATAATTCTTGCAGAAAAATTTTTCCTTTGAAAAGTAAAAAAATTTTAGTTTTCTTTTCTACAGAAATTTACACATAAAATTTGAAGCATGCATTTAGATAAACTCATTTTCGGTGTAATGTTTCGATTGTACTTTTGGCAGTTATTGATATTGATTTTCACATGGTTTTTAAATGTCCCGATATATTTCAAACACTATGGAAAATTCAAACATACATTTGAATATTTACTTTTTTAAGGCAGTGATTCTATTGATTTCTTTGTCTGTTATTGCTATAAGTTTCTCAATCGTTTTTAAATCCGATGTTTTTTTATACTATATTATTTATTATAACAACCTAATCTGGAAATGAAACACGCATTTGAGTAACCGCTTTTTAAGGAGTCCGATTTGCGTGATTTTGTCGTCTATCTTTTTTTAGGCAATTACTACTATGGATTTCATGATTTTTAATACATTTTTTTTTTATTGTGATGATTATTTACAAAATGCAAAGAAGGAAATAAGCAGTGCGTTTTTCCTCCAACAAAATGAGTGAATATCACCCATAATATTAGAATAAAAATTTATTACAATAATTTAAAAAAAATTTTATGTAGTGTTTTTATTTTTACTAAACACAGTGCTTTTGTTATTTTAAATGAGTAACATATATGTTTGTTATTATTAAAAGTATCTTGCAGAAAGATATTAGCGATAGAGAGTTTTATCGCAGGTAACTCGAAAAAATTTTGCCACAGGGTTCGAGACCTAAGAATATATATAAAAAATTCAACATCATTTTGTTAAATCTTATATTAGTTATAATTTAATAACAAAAACATCATCATCACCTGAGTGAAAGAGGAGTATCTTCATCACGTAACATCTGAAAGCTTTCTTCATCCAGTCCAGCGTAGATTCCATTGTTGTTGAAAATAATCACTATCACAGGAAGCTGATATCTAAAGCATAGATTTCAACATTTGGTTACAATACGCATTTGGCAATTATAATAAGCAAACTTTAAAGAATAAATTTATTTAAAATCAAATTATTTTTAATGTGATATAAATAAAATGAAGTATGATTTTTTTTAAAAAAAACCTTCAGATCAGATAATGAGATCACAGCTGAGATTCACAAAGAAACTTTTAAAAAATACTGGTACTTTTCCGTTCGACAAATAATGTAGAATCGAAAATAATGTAGAACGAAAAATCGACAAATAATGTAGAATTCCGCCAAATTTCTTACAGCTATAAGGGGAATGTTAGTTTGGGGCCACATGCTCTATTCTCTGAATTCATTTATTCCTTTCTTTCTTCCATCTTAATTTTCGTTTTAAAAAACGATGAAAATTTGGGATTTAGCCAGAACTGAAGAATATTATATATCTTTATAGTTGAACTTATTTTGATACTATTAATAAATATTTGTTTATAGTTGAACGTTTTTGTCTTTTATTCCGTTGACTGTTTTATCATTCACATCGCTTGGTAACTTGGCTTGCGTTTGGTTCAGAATTAACGACATTTAAGCCCGACTAATGGAAAAGTACCAAACATTTTAATGATTATGCCTCGTTTAAAATTCTTCATAACTATACAGATAAATAAGCTTTTTAAAAAATAGGTATATTTTTCTTTTAAAGAAAAGTTTATTTTAATAAAATTATTTTTGATTAAGCCTTCTCTCATTGTAGTTTATATTTTCTGTTGGATAATAAAGGATGTTAGTTACATTGAACATTGACAGTGTAATATTTAACATTTTTTGAACTACATTTAAAATAGTAAATAAAATAAATTTTGTGAACAATTGTCAATGACAACTCACCTTTGACTAGATTTACTAACAACAGATTCAAAAACATTTTCATCTAATTTAATAAAAAATTATAAATGTGATATGAACACTAAAACACTGTTAATGTCATTTTTTGTGGCATATGATTTTTTTTAAAAATGATTTTTTTAAACAAAATGAAAAATTATACTGGCATTGTTGCCATTTTGCACAAGGTCAGCAAACCACTATTGTTGTCTCCATAAACTGTTTTCATAAAGTGGACATCCAACTTTTCAAATCCATGAGGTCTCAACAATAAGTAACCTGTGATTGGCCTGTTTTAAATCTTCTAACCATCTGCCATCTTGTGGCATCGCCTAAGGTTCCGTGTCAGGATTGCAAGTGTTCCAAAAGTAAGGCCTTAATTTTAATAATTTGATTTTAGAAACTTTTAATTAAAGTGATATCTCATTAATTATCCAATATTTATTATTTTTACTACTTTTTATGAAATTATTTAATTTAAATGATTGTGAAGAAAGGAAAGCAAATTAATAAAAAACATTCGTATTCACTTTATCTAAAACTATATTTCACCTCGTTGATTTCCAATTCATGCATTTACTGACATCAAATTAAGAACTTAACTAGATGCCACTCAAGACTTGTGAATTCAACTGTCTGAGATAGAACACAATTTTAAGATTAATATTGATATATAATACAATGAGAAGTTTCATTTGTTATTAATTGATTAAACATTTTGAAAATAATTATAAAATTTCTACCATTAAATATTTTTAAAAATAATTAACAGTATTTAATTATTAATATGTTCACCATTGAAGAATTTTATACATTAAGTCTCGGAGCTCCGATAAAGGAAGACCGATCATTTAAGATTCCATAACTGAAAAAAATTTAGAACCACTTACAGGGGTCCCCAACCCTATGCCCGCGGGCACCATGGCGCCCGTCGATCGATCTAGGTGCGCCCGCTGCTTGAGCCTAACGATAAAATATTTCAGTTTTCCATTTTCCCAATAAATGCTATGCAAATTTTATGCTATGCAAATACATATTGAGGTACTCTGGTTCAGTAATGGNATTCATGTATTCACTGACATCAAATTAAGAACTTAACTAGATGCCACTCAAGACTTGTGAATTCAACTGTCTGAGATATAATACAATTTAAAGATTAATATTGATAAATAATACAATGAGAAATTTCATTTGTTATTAATTGATTAAAAATTTTCAAAATAATTAATAAAATTTCTACCATTAAATATTTTTAAAAATAATTAACAGTATTTAATTATTAATATGTTCACCATTGAAGAATTTTATACATTAAGTTTCGGAGCTCCGATAAAGGAAGACCAATAATTTAAGATTCCATAACTGAAAAAAATTTAGAACCACTAGTCTAGACTATTATGACTAGACATATAACGATGGATAAAAAAAGAAATTAAAGCTAGGATGCTTCAAAACGTCCTTACGCTACATGCTTCAGTGAGTAAATGAGGTACCTCTATACAAACACAATCGTAGCATCACTGCCATATGACGTCACTGTCACATGCCACTACCGCAAAGAATTTAGCTATCCTTATTTGCATATAGCATAGCTGCCAATATTAATAATAATAATTTCTGAAATCCAACAAACAGATGGCGCTCAGTGCAGTAATGTAGAAGGATTAATTGTATTCAGTTTTCTCTACGGCACTGTACCATGAACATCATTCCTTGTTTTTGTTATTATCAAGTTGTTAAAGAGCAGATTGTTTTTATTTTGTTCTTTAAATCATCAAATGAATCCATAATTCAAATTAGATACACTCACCTTTATCATTTTCTTAGCCCCACGTTTGGTGCCAATATTAAATAGGATGATCTAAGGGCTTTAAAGCATTAGAAATGCCTTTTAACAAAGTATATTTAATCACAAAAACAATGTTCATGGTACAGCGCCATAGAGGAAACTGAATACAATTAATTCTTTTCATTACTGCACAGAGTGCCATCTCTGTTAGATTTTAGAAATTACTATCATTAAGAACATTGGGAAATATTATTAACAGTCAACATAGAAAGGAAAAAAGTCCAGTAGATTTTACGAAATAATATAAATTTGATTTTAGCTGTTGCATAATATACCAAATATTCTACACACAGGGAATTTTAAAGTCATTAAAATACAATAACTTTATTACACTAATGAACTATAAATGGTTTGCAATATTTTCCATTTATGATTACTCATAATTTTGAATAGTAATAGACATTGAATTCATTAAAGATTTAATTAATTTAAAGAAGGAAACTCAGAATAAAAATAAGCTAAAAATTTTAGAACCAAAGAAAAAAAAAACTGATTACGATTCATTATGTATTAGTAATACTTATTTAAACATTCAAACAAGCAATAAAATACTTGAAAATTTTTTTGAATAGAAAATTTTTACTCAATTTTAGGGAATTCTCAAAAATGCACAAAAACCAGGAGAAATTTTATTAAACCAGTAGACCAAGAAAAACTAGCAAAATACAGTAGTCTACTAGAAAATTCAGTAGACTGCTATGATATAGGCATTACATATTTTTCTTCTTTTTTTCATTTAAAAAAACATTCCTCCTTTTAACTGACTTTATAGGTGTATAAAAATGTATTATAGAGTGAGAATTAGTTATGTGTTCATTAAAGTTTCACCTCTCTAAATAGTACCAGAACTTTGTACCGGTACCGGTGAAATAGTATCGGTGCGGCGATATGGGTTTATAAGTATTCTTCCCTTAGAAGTTTCTTACTTTTGTTATATATAAAGTTTCATATGGAATATGTGAAATATTCAGTAAATTAATTACCTGAATATAGTTTCCATTTCTAACCCCGCAAATCCAAATGCACTGTCCCCTTGAACGCATATCACACGCTTTCCTGGTGCATGTTCCTGACAATAGATGGCAGCAGCAATAGTTGAACCGAGTCCAAGTCCCATGGTTCCAAATGTTCCAGCATCCAACCTGGCGAAAGAAAGCGAAATTTGCACAAAGAACTTTACAAACCATAAAAATAGCAATGATAATCCAACAGATTCCAATTCCTATGAGAGTAGAAATTATAATAGGTTTGTAAATAAAACAGTAAATTGACACAATTAGGTATGGCATATTACAATATATACCCTATTACAACCAAGCTTATAACTCTCACTGTCAAAACACAAATCATGGTTACAAGTCATCATCAAAATACAATACTTAAACGACTTATTTGCAATGGCTCCTTATTTCTTTTCTTGACAAATATTGAAAAACAATTGGAATCACATATTAGTTTTATCAATGACTTCAACTATTGTATGCTATTACACTCCTGTAATATTTATTGATATTTAAATATATGCAGTTATTTATAGACCAGTCTTGCTATAACAACAATTCCATCTGCTTTTATGGATTGTTGTTACAACAGATTTTTACTGTAATTGAATCAATAAATTCTAAAACATGTCATCTATAATAAATTTCCTGTCCATCTATAATAATTTTCTTAAAAAAGTTGTGCATTGAATTATAATTAAGAGCATCATTGAATTATAATTAAGATCATCATTACATTTAAAAGCATGGACAAATGATATTCTTTTTACCTGTGACGAGGTAGCTCATTGGGCAGCATAGTTCTTCCAATATCCATTGTATTGGCACCTTCATTGATAATAATAGCATCTTTAGGAATCAATGCCTGGATCTAATTTTTAAAAAAAGAAAAGATTTTTTACCTTTAAAGCAAAGAACTGTAATAATAGATTTATCAGCACTGAAATATTTTATGAAACTATTCAAAGTACAAAAGTAAAAGTTTTATTAGCAAGGCAGGATTATTGAATAATTTAAAACAATTAGTACCCATATGTAGTGAGAAAAAAAATTAAAATAATGTGGAATAATGTTTTTTGGTCAAGTATACAGACAACAATTCTACAAGGTTTACATTATAGTATAATTTATGTGTTAGTTAAAATATAATCTAAAATATATTTGGCAATTTATATTATAAAATTGCAACAACTTAGAAACTTAATCTCTGTTTCTAAATTAATTCCTCTATTCTTAAATTCCCTCTTCTTCAAAAACTAAAATAAGAGTAAAATTACTCTTGAAATTTGTTTCTTTGTCTGACAGTGGTATAAGTGAATTTCTTTTAGCATAATATTTAATTTAGGAGCAACTTTGTAACAAACTTAACCTGCAACATTTAACTTTATTTCAAACTCGTTTTTTATTAACTAATTAATAATTGAATACCAACTTTAATGGCACAAGAGCCATTACGCATTTAAGAGAAATAATTTTAAACAAAGGCCTAAACTAGATCTGATGCAAAAAAAAAAGAAAAGAGAGGAAAATTACAAACACATTTTAATGAGCCGTGATGGCTCAGACGATAGAGTGTGATATGAAGTGAACTGGGTTCAAATCGATCGTTACGAATTCCACATTCGGCTTGCACTGTCCACAGTGTTAACATGAAATATCCTCAGTGGTAGATGGATAATGGGTTAGAATGCCCTTGATATCTGGTTAACCGTGGGAGGTTTTCGTGGTTTTCCTCTCCATGTAATGCAAACGCATGTTAGTTCTATCAAAAAGTCCTCCAAGAAGGCAAATTTTCCAAATATTTGATCCAGGAGTTCTCTTGTCTTCTAAATTGGGTTCAAAATTACAAGGCTACGTAGTTGAGCATTAGTAGTGGTAAACCCAAAAATTAGGTTGGCTGTTCAACAACTGTTATAAAATTTTTAAAAAAATACCCCTTATATATTAGGGCTCAGAAATCAAATTTGTCGAAAATGGGTATGTTTATTAAGAGAAAGTGTTTTTATGTCTGATTTTGTTACTTAATATCTTTTGCACCAATTAATTAGTGTATTTGAGGTCAAGACCTCGAATCATTAAGATTTGAGTTGTAGTACATGAAAATCCTTTCATTAGATCAAAGGTTATTCAGTGTTCAAGTAGTCGTAAACTCAAAATTAGGTCGGCTGTTCGACAACGACGGTTGTATAAAAAAAAAACACACATTTTGTTATCAATACCAAACAATGAGGTCATTTCATTTCATTGACCATTGATTATTTCAACTAATTAATGATTGAGTGGCAATTTAAAAGTAATAACAGAAAATGACTTTAATGTACCAATCTCAAATGCCATCACAAAATCAAATAAGCTAAATCTGGTGGAAAAAAGAAACAGAATATAAAAAGAGGAAAAGCACTAGAATACTTTGAAATTGATGAATCTGTATTTATATAAAGCAATGAATTTCCAGTGTAGAGGAGAATCAATTAATTAAAGAAAATATTCTTGAAATTTGAAATAAATAAAGTAAGAATGATGCAAACATTTGTTTGAGAGAAATCAATTCATTACAACCATTTGAAATTCTTTGAGTTTATAATTGAGATCCACTATTAAAGTGAAAGCTTATATGTAATAAATGCTACATTAGAAAACAGTTAAAAGTTTGCCATGTATGAAAAAAAAAAAAAAAGAATATCAATATTTCATAAATGTACACAGCATTTTATAAACACCACTTTTAATATAATTTGTCTAAAGCAAGAATTCCCCTAGTCATTCGTCTGGAACTGTAGCGGTGACTATGGTAATGAGGTATAATTTCAAGTGGGTGTGGGGTCATTGTTTAGGACTTGTTTTGGCTCAGATCGGCTTTAGAAATGGAATATTGTTCCTCCATCTACTGTGTCAGCCTAAGAATGAACAGAAGCTACCCTCCCTGAAATGCTCTATTCTTGTTTCCATAGCAGCAGACTGCCTTAGACTTTGAAGTGGGGGGAGTTCTTACCATAGACAAACTATATATACAGAGTTGCTACAGTAAAAAATGAACCAAAATAGTTGCTTTTAATAGCCTCAAGCATGAAAATAGTTGCCTAAAACAATAAAAATAGTTGCCTAAAACAATGAAAATAGTTGCCTGAACAGGAACAAAAATCTATCAAAAATAGTAGCCAAATAACTAAAATTATAGCTTAATTGAAAAATACTATGACTAGGACTGGGTGATGTCAGAAATTTTAAATTGTGATACATCGTCAGTTAGACATTGCATTAAAGTGATGTATGTAGCATATGATCAAAAATTACCTATGGGAAATCTTTCAATCAATCAAAAATTAAAAAAGAAATAAATCTATTACGAAAGAAAATATTAATTCTAAACATATTCTACTATGACCCCAAGCTTTATTTCATTTTTCTTGAATTAAAAATAATTTAAGATTTATTGTTTTAAAAATAATAATACTGTAACAAAATATTTTACATACATGCAATGAAAATTAAAAGAAAAATAAAAAAAACGAAAGTGGAAAACAAACCAAAGAAATGTTCACTTTAGAAAAAAACATTTTTTTAAAATTATTTGTTGGAAAAAAAAACCATGCTTTTGGAGCATCATTAGACCCTTTTTTATTTAATTATTTAAAATAATAAAAGGTATTATTAACTAATAGTCAAATTCTGTACTTAAGAAATACTTTATTATTATTTTCTTTGAAAATAAAATCGACTAAAGATTTATTTGTTTAAAAATGATACTGACTATGTAACAAATTATAAAACAAACGAATATTGAAAGAATTTTAATAAAAAAAAATTAAGTACTAATATCAAATTATTAAAAAAGCGACAAAACATTACTAAACTCTTTATTTAATTAAAAAAAATTCTTTGTTTTTTTCGTTTTCTTTTTAACTAATAGCTCTCTTTTTAACTAATTTTTTAAACTTCGTTTTAATTTTATCAAAAATAAAAGCAAACTAAATAAATGTAAGCTTTGTTGTAATTTTTTTATAGTTAAAAATGATTGGACATTTATTGGTTTAACAATAATTAAATTATTATACTTACCTACATTTTAAAAAAAACGAACTTTTTATAAAAGTTAAATACGAAATACCCCTATTAAATTGTATCGCTTAAAATGAAAAACAATAAGGGAAAAAAATCAAAGAAAATCTTTTTTTATTTTATTTATATTTTCGTTTCATTGATCTATTGAGTTCAGAATGAAAATTTAAGATAACAGTGATTGTGCAGCAATCGCAAAGTAACCGTAGGAAACCAAGTAACCAAGAATCGTTAAACCTAGACAGAAAAAAATGGGTATATCTGATGGTAAGTCTGACTGAAAATAATTTACAAAGAACCTGACAATTATTTCTGACAAAATAAAATGCACAACAATTGAAAAATGACTTGAGTCCCATTGAAAATAATCTTCAAAAAACGTAAAATCCAAAAGACAAAAATGGACATAAAGAAACTGTGCATTGCGTTCTACATAAAAACGCTGATCCTCGCACGAAACTGGGATTCAATTCGCTCTTCGTCATTCAACATCACGAAACTAACATCATCTTTATAGCAAAACGCTATCTACATCTCTGCAGCAAGACGAAATTAAAATCGTCTTCGTCAGTGCGGTAACAGCGCTAGCCTAGTCAAGGATCCTTGCATATTAAATAGTTAAACCGTGATTGTAGCCTTATTCCGGCTGTTTAAATCAAATTTCTGATGCATCGCCTAAAACGAAAGTCACTACATCGGCCTACCGATATATGCGTTAAATCGATATTTCGCGATACATCGATTTATCGCCCAGTCCTATCTATGCTCCAATTCCAAATGTATACCTTTTATATTTGTACAAAAAAGTTTCGTACAAATATAAAAAGGTATACATCTTAGAAAATCGGTACCTAAATAAGAGTCGAATTACAATAAAATATGAATGTTAATAGAAGGAAAAAAACAATTAAAAATAACAAAACTGCTCCTCGGAGAGAAAAAATAACAAGTATACTTTATTAAATCTAATGGAAATTTAAATGTTTGGCTTTTTAGACATAAATAATTGTATAAAAGTTTGCTTTCTTTTAACGTTTAACGTTTAACGTTCTGAAAAGTAACGTTCATTTATGCGAAAAAACTTCGCTAAGAGAAAAAAAGTCTCCTAATAGTCGCCTATTCCTGAAAATAGTTGCTTTTTTAGCCTTTTCAGGCAAAAAAAGTCGCCATAGTCGCCTAAGGATGAAAATAGTAGCAAATAGTCGCATTTTAGTCGCCTGTGGCAACCCTGTATATATACATATATATTATGATAATCATTGTTAAAAAGGAAGTAAAAACTAAAGGTTCAGAAATTAATAGTTAGTCAAGGAAATGAAAGACATTGTATGATAAATCAGTATTGAAGGACGCAGAATAAAAAGAAATTACTTGATTGTCTAATGAAAACAGAGGGAGTTGAAGGGCTACCTCTAAAAACACAGTCAAAAATCCACAAACAAATAAGTTTTGACATTTTTCAGTCTCACCTATCCAATATGTGGTTTGTCAGATTTCAGACTTTTTTTCTTCTTCTTTTGCATTAATAATTAATTGGGATCTCTAATGTGTACAGTTATTTTTTAACTTTAGTTTCAGCAAGGGTTTCAAAAATATAAGCCTAGGATTATGAAAATTAAGGGCTTGGATTATAAAAAACTGGGAATTTCTTCAAACTGATTAAACTGAAAAATCCACCGAAAAAAGTCTGTTTTGTTACATAAAATAAAGGTATTAGAAGTTTAAGCAGTAATAATCGTCTCTTTATTTTTACAATTTTATTTATAAGAAGTTATTATTAGAAGTATCTTATTCAACATGTAATGAAAATAGTAAATTATTTTCAGTTGTTGATTTAACCAAAGCAGTAACTCCTATATACATCAAAACTATTAACTGCGACAAATAATAAAATATAAATTATAATATTATAGGATCCTTCAAAGGAAGTCTTATTTTCAATTCTTTAAAAAAAAATTATACAAAATATTAACACAAAAACTTTAAAAAATAAAAGCAATAAATCTCTTACCTCATTGTAAGCAGCATAATAGTTCAAAGGCATGGTCTTGTCTGCAATCATGTTCTGAAAATATAATTTGTTTTTAAACAGTAATAGTTTTACAACACTTTTAATCAGGGTACGTAGTCAAATCTTTCAACAAAAAATAAGCACCTTTTAAGTACTTTTGAAGCACTTAAAAAATATTTTTAAGCACCATACACATTAACAAAATGCAAAATAGTTTTCAAAGACTTTAGATGATCATAATAAAATAACTAGTTTTTGACAAAGAACGCTTTTCTTGATTATATTAGCCATTATAAAATGATCAAGAAATTTTTCGGTTCGATATCAGAGAGTGGAAAATGAAGCCAGAAATTGAGAATATCTTGCAAAATGCAACAGAGTTGCACATGAGAGTGCAATCTCACAGTAGACGCACATGCCCCGCTTCAGTAAACTCACATGCAGACTTGCAAGTATATCATCAAACATGTAAAATGATTGGTGCTTTCATACGCTACGGACCGACAATACGCCGAAATAGATTGTTGAATGAATTCTGAAAACGTTGAATAGAACAATGTGAAAAGCACGCTTTTGCATAATACGTGACGAAAATCAACAAGGCAAAAAAATTCTCATTTCCGGAAAGGGAAAATGAAGCACTTTTTAAAACCACCCAATGAAAATAGAACCTTTAAGGACTTTTAAAAAACGAAAATAAAAAATAAGCACCTTTAAGCACTTTTTAAAAACGCTATGCATCATGTTAATACATATTATAAAATTTATTTATTTATGGGTATCATTCATTATAAAGCGGTTTTAAGTTTTAACAAAAACAAGTTTTAATTCCAAGATACAATATCCGGCCAAAAGTATCCGCACACCCGGTTGTTATGGTGATCAAAGCATAATGGTGTGGGGTGTTTCTAGTGGTTTGGCCTGTATCCGTTAGTTCCAGTGGTTGGAAACATGAACTCTGAGATGTATGTGGACATTCTGGACAATGCTGCACTCCCAACTCTAGGGCAATATTTCGGGGAAGGCCCATTTGTTCTCTTCCAGCAGGATAACTGCTCCATTCACACATCGAGACATGCACAGACGTGGTTTGACGAAATGAGTGTTCAAAAACTGGAATGACCTTCTCAGAGCCCCGATCTAAATCCCATAGAACACCTTTGAGACGAATTAGAGCACAGTTTGCGTAAACAGCCAAATCGACCATCCTCACTACAAGCACTCACTTCAGCTGTGATGGAATTCAATTTTCATCAAGGGTCTGTTTAGAAGAAATTTGGGTCCGTTAACGGACCAAAATATCTTTTCATGAAAACGAACCCTTCACAAAATAATTTATCTTTCAATCGGACCCTTCACAAATTTATTTATCTTCATTATTGTTTTATTAATCGAATAAACCCTTCTCAGGGGAAATAGAAAAAAAAAAAGAAAGGCAGTTCGAATCGGCAGTTATGGAGTTTCCGAGCTTTCCCTAAGTTTAAATTCCAAATGTAGTATTCTAAGAATATATTTCTACTTTTACATCATTCTTATTGATATCAAATGATAATTTTTTTTTTTGCAAATTAATAATTGATCAATTTATATTTATTCATAAAATTAATTAATAGAATATTATGTAAATAAAAATTAATTTCTGGCAATTTTTAAATAAAACATTATGAATTTAAGAATTGTTTAAATTTACTGAATGCGTAACACATTAAAAGTGATTCATAACTAAGTTGTGTTATTTAAAATATGTCAATTGAAATTATTAAAAATGTAAGTGATTTTGTTTCCATTATTTAGCCTATACTGCGTTGAGCAGTATAGGCTAAATACCAAATATTTGTAGGTTGCATCTCTAATTTAGTAGCAGAAATTGTTGAGCATATTCTTGTATCTATTTACAACTTAAAAACTTCTCGAAAATGTTTTTAGCAATTTTTGCAATAACAGGACCCTGGTTGAAAGAATGTGGCTTAACGCTAATTTTATATTCACAAATTATGAGTAGTTTTTTCACAATTTCACAAAAACAGGACCCTTCACAAAATGTCTGGACAGATCCCTGCCTATCAAAAACTGGTAAAAAGTCATCTCAGACGTGTGCAGGCTGCAAAAGGGGGACCAACATCGTATTAATGTGTGCGCCTCAGTCCAAACCACTGGGTGTCTGGACACTTTTGACCAGATAGTGTTCATACTATTTTTTTTCATTGCAATTCACTCCACAAGTTATATATTACAGGGTGCGTAGCCAAATTATTCAACAAAAAATAAGCACCTTTTCAGCACTTAACAAATATTTTTAAGCACTTTAAAAAAATACCATAATTAAGCAGGGTTGGAAAGTTTTTTGCAATTGACGGTTTTATCTTTTTTAACCGTCATGTCAAAAAAAAAACTTTTGGCATTGTTTTTGACAATTGTCAAAAATTATGAAATTTTGAATAATGTAAAACGAATATCATCTTCATACTCTACGGACTGACAATACACCAAAATAGATTGAGTATGAATTAATTGTGAAAACGTTAAATAAAACAATGTGAATAGTTTTTTTTTGTGCATAATTCATAGCGAAAATCAACATGGTAAAGGAAAAATCTCATTTTGAGAAAAGGGAAAATGAAGCACTTTTTAAAAACACCCAATGAAAAAAACATCTTTAAGGGCTTTTAAAAAAACGAAAATCAAAAATAAGCACCTTTGAACATTTTTTACAAACGCTATGCACCCTGTATTAATTATAATGTATTAATAACTACAACAGAAAATTATTTACTTTTATTGTTGTGATATTTTTCTGCTTCTTCTCCTCTAAGTTATTCAGCCAGTCTTTAGATGAAAATACCCAGTTATCTTTTTTAAGTTCATCATTCAACTGAAATTGGACAATTCTTTAAGTTTTTTTCCTTTTATATAAATATAGAAGAAAAAAGAATGAAAGGAATACAAATTGTGAGATTCAATAAAAAAGAATAAATGAGATAATAAATAAGGCATATGAAAACTCAAATAGTAAAGGATTTTCATTGCAATTTATTAAGTTTTTATTTTTTCATTTTCAAAAATGTCACAAAGAACAATAAGATTTATATTTGGCAATATGTAATCGCTCTCATGCTAATTTTGATGGACATCTACTCTAATGTTAGCTTATAAAATAAAGAAATAGGATCTCCATGTGGGAAAAATATATTTTCGGTAACGATGGATAAAGAGTCAATACTTAAAGCAAAAGAGCTGAAAAATAATAATGACAAAGCACTTAAATTAAATTTGCAAAACCTTCAGAGCAAATGGCGATTTCGAAGGGAAAAAAATCATGTTAAAACTATAATATAAAATGTTTCTATCAGCACTACAAGTTTCATCTCTAAAGTTGTATTTCAGCCGACAGTATATGGACAAACAGATCTTTGTTTTACTACAAGTTTAGATAATAATTCTTTAACAAACTATCAAATCATAATTTTTGTTTAATTCCATGAAACTCCTTGCACATGTTTTTTCACATCTTCGTAATTTCATGTTTCTGAGTCTTATAGTGCATAAAATAGCATATTTTTACTGTAATCGTGATTTTGGTAAAATTCACCCACCATTCTACTGCAACAGCACAAAAAGTAGAATCTAATTAAAACTGTATACCATAATACTTTGTACCTGAACAATAAAACTGTAAACTATATAACTGCATACTATAATGCTTTGTATCTGTACTATAAAACGGTATAGGTACTATAATTTTTACCTGTTGAACGATCGATCCAATATCACCACAAACAGCAACAGATGACTGCACGCTATTGTGAAGTTCTTCCATGTGGACATCTACCTGAATGGACAAAGTTCATTAGGATGAAAAAACATCCATTAAAAGAGAAAAAAAAATTCCACAAAGCCTGAATTAAATACTTCCTTACCTGCAATATTTTAACATTCTTGTTGAATCGGGGTGGTTTTCCAAAATGAAGAATCCAGTTTAGCCTTGCTCCCAAAAGCAAAATTACTTCAGCTTCAGACAAGGCTCTGCAAATAAATAAAGATTATGCATTGCGAACAACTAAAAAGACAAAAATGATATTAACCCAGGGTGCGTAACCAAATCTTCCAACAAAAAATAAGCACCTTTCAAGCATTCAAAAAGTATCTTTAAGCCCTATATACATTAACAAAATGCAAAATAATTTCCAAAGACTTTACATGATCATGATAAAATAACCAGTTTCTGACAAACAACTCTTTTCTTGATTATATTAGTCATTAAAAAATGATTGAAAGATTTTTCAGTTTGATATCAGAGAGTGGAAAATGAAGCTTTGAATTGAGAATACCTTGCAAAAGGCAGCAGAGTAGCATATAAGAGAGCAATAATCTTACTGAATCCAGCTCAGTAGACGCACATGTGGACTCACAAGTATTTCATCAAACATGTAAAATGATTGGCGCTTTCATACCCTATGGACAGACGGTATGCCGAAATAGATTGTGGTTGAAGGAATTGTGAAAATGTTGAATAGAACAATATGAAAAGCATACTTTTGCATAATACGTAGTGAAAATCGACATGATAAAGAAAAAAATCTCATTTTCTAAAAGGGAAAATTAATCATTTTAAAAGCACCCAATGAAAAAAGGGCTTTTAAAAAACGGAAATCTTAAAATAATCTTTAAGTACTTTTTAAAATTTACACACCATGTAATATTATACCACTTAAGGCAGGAGAACTTTTTTTTATAAAGTTGTGCATTTGTAATAAGATTGAATATTTAAAGTTCTATTTATAGATTAGATTTTAGATATAATTTTTTGACATCATGTAAAATCATTGCCTCGAAGAAAGAAATGACCAATAGCTAGGCATAAGAACTTCCTCAGTCATTTAAAACAAATTCAGTATGATACGTCAAAAACATTTGTATTATAGACTAATCAGGAAATAAAAGATTTACATGTGTGAAGTCAATTATGTAAGTGAGCTGTTTTTAAAATTTGTGATAAACTGAAAAATTCAAATAATATATTTCTCTTTTAAATGTTTTTTGAGCGTTCAAAAATTTACATAATTTAAGCAAAGTTGTCTTGTGGGAACTTGCATTCAGAGAAAATTTCATAGTTCTTTTAAATTCTTAAATGATTATTATTTATAAGTTTTTATTTTATGAAACATGCTATTTACTAGTTCAAAAATAGTAAAGTGTACTTCCAAGTATTAAGTAATAAGTACAATATCCGAATAATCCAAGTAATAAGTACAATATCCAAATAATCCAAGTAATAAGTACAATATCCGAAATAATTTAAGAAATAAGTTCAAAAAAAATAATTAATTTGAACATGTAATGTTATATAAATTGTTAACTTGCCATTATTATGCAAATTAGTCAATGTTTGAGAGTAGTAAAAGTCATTATAATTTTTATAATCACTTCTAATCACAATGAAATCTTTAAACATCATTAAAATATTGATTTATATATGCAATAAAATGGAATGATAATAGGAATAAGTAATATACATTAGTTTAGGTTTGCACAACTTTTTGAGAGAAGGACTTCTCTTACAGCAGGTACGTTAATGAAGAGCCACATGCATATTTAGTCATGTTAGCGGCAAATATGATAATTTTTGTATAAAAATTAGTGTTCAAAGCACTATATATTTTTTCAATAAACTTAATGGAATATTCGTATATATATATATAAGTTCAAAATGAAGAATAAAACAAAGAAAAATTAAAGACATTTCAGTTTTTTTCCCTCCCGGTTTTTTAAATAAAATTTCAGCCTTTTTTTTTTAAACTGTTGTTTGTTATTTTTTTACTTATTATTTCCCCCCCTTTAATATGTCTTTAATTTTTCTTTGTTTTATTCTTCATTTTGAACTTATCTAATGAGTTCTGTTTACTTGCAGCTTAGGCGCAATAAATGAAACTTATTGNCGGTCAAAAGTTTAGACTCACTCTTGAATTTTTAAAAATAGACAAATAACAATTAAAACTGACTTCATTTAAACTGAAAATTACATTAAATTAACTTTATTTTGAGAAATGTAGGTACGCTTATATGGTAAGAACTATAATTTTATGCATAACTTATGAATTTCGTCAAATCTTGGATTCTTCGAAATATCCTCCTTTAGCCTTTATCACAGCAGCACATATTTTTGGCATTATTTCTATTAGTTTCTGTAATGTTCTAGCTGATGTCTGGTTCCAGCAACTAAGTAAAGGTTCCCGAAGCTTGTTTTGATTGGTACATCTCATTTTTGTAACATTTCTATCGAGTTCATCCCACAATAGCTCAATAGGATTAACATAAGCGGATTGAGTGGGCCAATTCATGTATTTCCGCACTTTTTTCTTTTCTTTTGATGCAATGTAGTTTCCACACAATTTCGATTAATGTTTGGGATCGTTATCTTGCTGAAAAACAAATCCTTGACCAACGATTCTCTGTCCACATGGAAAAGCGTAATGCTGCAATATTCTGTGATAATATTTTTTATCCATAATACCCTCTATTCTTGCAAGATCTCCAACTTTATCACCGGCAAAACATTCCCAAATCGTGACTGAACCTTCACCATGCTTCACAGTTGGTAGTAAACAGTGACTTGTCATACGTTCACCAACTAAACGACGAACATACTGCCTTCGTTTGCTTCCAAACGACTCAAATTTTGATTTGTCCGTAAACAAAATCTTTGACCACTGTTCTAAAGACCAGGTAACATGTTTTTTAGCCCATTGCAGTCGTTTTACTTTATTTTGTTTTTTCAAAAGAGGTTTTCTTACAGCTACACAACCTTTTAAACCATAGTCACGAAGTTGACGTTGTACAGTAGATACTGGCACAATTTTCTGCCAAGTAGCATTCAATTCCTCACGGATTTCTGGTGCTGTTCGAGTTCGCTGCCGCTTGCTTTGAATGTGGATAACCTTATCCTCACGTTTGGACGTTATTCTAGGTCTCCCTGATCGCTGGCGGCTCTTATTTTGGCCAGTTTCTTTCTTCCTTTGCAAAGTTCTGACAACAGTGGTTTGAGAAACATTAGTTTTAGAGGCAATCTGTCTACTTGAATGGCCTTCTGCATGAAGTGCAATAATAACTGCACGTGTTTCCACACTTATTTCTTGATTTCGACCCATATTTCTGTAATAAATTGTATAAAAAAAAATTTTTTTGTTTTTAATAGATACCAGTTATTCTGGCTAATTATGGCTATTATATCAATATTTAAAATTTGTCATGCACATGAACATAACTTATAATTAACCCCATAAAAGATGATGAAAAGTAAATTGTTTATAAAATAAGAATTAATAAAAAATTTTAAATAAATTACACTTGTTTAAGAATAGGCACTTACATGCACTTTTGTTCATTCCGTTATCAACTACAGAATAGATACAAAATGAAAAAATAATGAACAGTTTTAAAAGAAAACAGAGTTTTGAGATGTTTGTTTATGATTATATTTGATAAATTGTACGTTTAAGTCAGAAACATTTAACTATTTTTGAAATAAATACAAGTGAGTCTAAACTTTTGACCACTTGATGCATTTTATAGAGCAATATAAATTTGAATTAAATATTTTAATTAAAGAAAATTTATAATGCTTTAAACCAAAACCACATTGAAAGAAATTTTTTAATGTGTTCAGAAGCTAGTGTGGGCCGCAGGTTATGCATCCTTACATTAGTTATTGCAATTGTAATTCAAAAACTTCATATGTTCCAACTCAAAATATAGTATGACATCATAAAGTAATAAATACAGTACATAAATTGAACTTGTCTCTCCAATGAGCAAGCTTAACTGCCTGGCATAAAGCCAAGTTTTAAAACTATTTTTGATAATATGAGAAAAACAATTTTTTTAAATTCTTTTTGTTGAATGTTTCGAGAATTATTAGTAGTCTCACTTTGGTTAATATATTCACATTTGCTAGTGAACTTGATTCATAAAATTAAGGTTATGCTAAATAAAAAGTCAATCAATTAGGGTTCCATAGACAAAAAGAATTGGAAACTGCTGCTTTATGCAATACTGTGAAAATAAAAGGGAAACTAATAAAATAAGTCTACACATAAGTATTGATAAAGAGCAGTTTTGGAGAGAAAAGAAAAACTTTTTAACTACTATTAATAAATTAAAAGGGTGATTACAGGAGCATAGATGCCAATATAGGAGAAATAAAGTAACAGAGATTTTACTAGCGGTATTATTTATGCTACCCATAAAGTTTTGATACATCATGCATAATCATGTAAGTCAAAAGAAAAAAAAAAAAGAAATTCAAAATTGGAAATATAAGCACTAACATTTAGCAAAGTAAAAAAAAAGGTATATAAATCCTAATCTGAAAAAGATTAATAAAAACCATTATTTATATTTATAACCATTTTTTTCAAAACCATTATTTATAATTATTTAAACTATTAACACTCAACATCAGTACTGGCAATAACACCATCTGTTGAGGGATAAAAGAAGTACTTCTGTCATCAGCAGTTATTTTATCGCAATTATTATTTTTTTCTTTTCTTCAATAAATACAGAGAAATTTGAGAATATACGGGTAAACAGGAGATAGTCGTAAAATACATGAGTCTTTGTTAAAAACAGGAGATTTAAATTTGTTGATTTAAAAAGTATGCTTACAGGAAATCCAAATTAGAATTGAAAAGGACAATTACAGGTACCCAGCCAGAAAAAAAAAGTGAAACTATGTATTTACTTTGATCTAGCAGGAGACATGCAGAGGGGGCTGCTGTCTGGGACAACCCCCTTTCCCATAGGTGATGGTAAGAATGGAAGTCTATGATTCTCAACAAGCTCTTGAATTTGACTTTCAGCTCGACTATAAGATGCACCTGAAAAAGAATATATAGTTATCAAAGGAAAATATAGCTATTTTTCATCTGAAACTTTTGATTTTTTTTTTTTTGTTTTGTAAGATTTTGAGAGGAAAAACATAACAGAATGAGAATTAAAAAAAAAATAACAGAATGAGAATTATATTAGAGAACATCAAAAACATGTAACAGAATGAGAATCGAAACGCAGAGATGCCAACTGCTCCGGACACGCCAAAATAATTAAAAAACTGGTAAATAACTACAAAATAAATTTTGCAAATATTTGACTATTTTTGCTTGCTTTTTAAAAGGTTTTGCTTGAAATACGTATTAAAAAGTGTTGAATTATATGAGCCTACAAATTATTTAGAAATAGTGGTAGATAAAAATCTACTAAATTGAATTTATTAAGCCAAGAATCACAATTGATAAACTACCACTTTGAAATATATATTTGCTGTCCGGAGCAAGTTGGCATCTCTGGAAACATGGAAAAGTTTCACTAAAAAGTGGTTACAATTACTGTTATTGACATACTGTTACGGAATTACTGTTTTTGACAATCTAAGACTGGTTCAATACCTCTGGGTGTACCGATCCAGGAGTTTCCTTGTCTTCTGGATTGGTTCAAAATTACAAGGCTACGGCGTTGAACATTAGTAGTCGTAAACCCAAAAATTGGGTCGACTGTTCAACGGCGGTCATAAAATAAAATAAAATCTAAGACTGGTTATTTTCCAGGTATGATATAGGAATTTTCCAGGATTTTTGTAAAAATTTGACCTTCCCTGACTATTTCCTGCTTTTTAGAGTAAAGTAAAAGTCCCTTACAATTCCAGGTCTTCCCTGTACTCTTTGGCCCGTGGGAGATCAAGGTTATGGACTAATAACTCAGTCATATGATTGTGGAGAGGGTGGTATAAATTGAAACTGACACAGAAGACATATTTACCTTTCCCTATAACAACAAGGGGTCGTTTTGTTGATTTCAGTATATTGGCCATGTCTCGTATACTGGAGGGAGACGCCAAGGAAATAGGTGGATCGGGACAAGGTAGAGGATACTCTATTTCATCTGAGACAGCTTCTTGAGATATGATATCACCAGTTATATCAATGTAGCAAGCACCTGGCCGACCATAGATACTCTCTCTTACAGCCTGAAAGATATTGGATGCAATAAATAAAAATTTATATAAATATATGATTATGAAGCAACTATTTATTAATTTTGAAGGTAGTATTCGGAAAAGGGTAATTTATTGTCCTCCCAAGTGAATCAGTTAATAATAACAATAAAATATGAGTATTCAGATAAACATACTTTTTCAATATGAAATGGAATGAGAGATACATCTGCAGGTCGACAAGAATATTTACTGTATAATCGGCACGCCTCCACCTAAAAATGAAGAAAAAATTAGTTTGGATAAACTTAAATTGTTAATCTCTACAAAACTTAACAATTAAACTTTTATGGTTTATTCATGTTTACATTAAGTTTTTGAACCTGCTTAAAACATTAGCTTCTTTTTTTTGAGCATGAATGCACTCCAAAAAATTCTTTTATGAGAAAAAAAAAGATATTGAGCATTTCTGAATCAAACTCTACAATAATTTCTCAATAAGAATGTAAAGTAATTGTTTCATTTCATTTTGAGAAAAAAATATGTTTGTTAAAAATGGAATTTTATTTTTGCATATTTAAATAACGTTTTTGGTTACCTTCTACACATTGTTTTTAGAAATTATACGGTTCATACAAAAAAAAAGGACTTTTCAAGGAAAAATATTATTAGTTCAAGGCAATTTTTCGATAATTTTTTAGAAAGGTTTAAATATGTGCTTATCACAATTTTTTATATTCACATCATTTTTAAGTATACAGCTTACTTTTTTTATGTTATAACCATTGTTGAATTCTGGTTTTGAGCTTATGTCTACCAGTGTTCAACTCCATAACCTTGTCATTTTAAAACCAATGCAGAAAAAGGGGAACTCCTGGATCAAGTATTGGGAGAAAGGACTTTTGCAGGACTTTTTGATGGAACTAACCTACATTTGCATAACATGGAGAGGAAATTCACACAAAACTCCCATGGTTAGCCTGACGGCAAAGGGACTCCAACCCATGTATAAAACAAATGAACTATGTTTAAAACGAATAAAACATTAGTCTCTATAATTATCATTAAAGTCATGGAATCAGAGGAACAAAAAATTAGTATTACAAACATATTTCTTAATATTTAAAAATAAATAGAATGAGACCCAAAATATCTATTTTAAATTAAAAAAAGGTAAAAGTTTTAACTTGTGAGGAAATAAAGGTGAAATAGTTGCAACAGTGAAAGATATAGAAAAACAAGATTCAAATAAAGAGAAAGTATAAATAAGTTTATAAGCAAATAAGTCCAACAGGTTATTTTACCAAATAAATGCTGAATGATTTTTTTTCTTCCCAAATGTTCGTTGAAATTGGCAATTTGCTTTTTCTTATGCTATAACCTAACCTAAATCTGATCCCTCAATAGTGACCTAAACTTTTAAATAGTCCCTTTTTATTTAAATTTGAAAAGTAATGAATTTCTGAAATATATTAATTTATTAAGTATTTTTAAGAAAGTCAAAAAGTTCATGAACATTGAAATTTTACATAGTTTTTAGATCTTTTGGTTATTTTTTCATTCTTAAGTTTTTTCCCCCCTTATTAACAAAAATGCATTTAAATCAACAGAAGAAAATAGCTGAAATGTTGATTTGAGCAGTTAGGCATAATTTTCAGAGCTTTTCTAACTCTGCAATTCTTGCTAAAATGTGTAGGAGCTTAATTGGTATCTTACAGAATTTCCAATTTAATATTTCCATGCCTGGCTGGTCATATAAGGGTAAAAAAATACATGCTTGATCTGATCAGAATTTTTACCTGTCCCAGGAAAGTTGGGCAATATACATTCCAAGAAATACATTTTTTGAATCCTTGCACAAAATGGTGTTGAAAAAACTATGCCAATTAAGAGTCACAAATTAATATTTAAGACAGTAAAAAAATGAAGTGCAGAAAAAAGAAATCAATTATACTTGAGACCAAAAAAAGAAGAAGAAAAAAGAAAAAAGGAGATATTAAAATCATCAAAATTCAGTTTATTTGTCTAGTGTGACTGGAATGTGCTTGCCTTTTGTTACAAACTGCATTTAGAATTTATCTTCAAACAAACTGATTTTACATTATCCTAATTTCCTCTTTGCTCTTACAGATTTAAATAAAAATTGCACAGATTTTTGAAACTTTTTTATTCTGTCTCTGTCAAATATTAAATTGAAACGCCAAAAGTTTTTTTTCATTTGAAACCCTTCAAAAAATATACATTAAGGTGATTAATCACAGAGCAGTACGTAAATTTACTCTACCAAGACAATTAAATAGCCAGTTAAACTGATGTAACTTAAAAAGACAATTAAACTAAAAAGTTACTTGACATTTTAGTGAAAGATAGTTTTAGGGTGCACATTGGGCTTATTGGAATTCATTACTGAACACTCTATCAATTAATTTTACCATGTCACATAAAAAAAAAACATTTAAACTGATGTCCCTTAACTCACTTAAAGAGCCAGATTAACAAAAATGTCACATAACAATCACTTAAAAAAGCCAGTTCAAATAAAATATCACATCACAGACAATTAAAAAGCTAGTTCAGGGGTCTGTCTAGGGTATTTTGAGAAGTACCTATTTTGTGAAAATTTAGACATAATTTGTGAAAAGATAAAAATTATATTAAGAGATCAACACAAAAATATGGATTTACCGTTTCCTACGGGATACAAAGATAAAATTTTAAATGATAGTTTATTTTAGATTACTTTATGGGGTTTCTATTTTATAGGGCTACTAAGCTCTTCTTTAGCTCTCTATGCCCACTTTAATAAAAAGATACTGGTTAAGACAATTAATGTGCTAGAAGCTGTGATGGCTCAGGAGGTAGAACATTTGCCTTTCAATGAGGTGAACCGGGTTCAAATCCCAGTCATGACTGGTAGATTCAAATTCCGTACCTGGCTTGCACTGACCACAGTGATGACTAAAATATCTTCAGCGGTAAATGGATCATAGGTTAGAGTCCCCTTGCCGCCAGGCTAAACTGTGGAAGGTTTTTGTGTAATGCAAATACGGGTTAGTTCTTCAAATATCTCCCAGTACTTGATTTTCACCAAAATCGAGTCGGCTGTTCAACAACGGTTATAAAATAAAATAAATTTGCTAGACCTGAGGAAACTCTTGGAAACCACCAAGTCCTTCATGATCTCGATCTGTAGAGCCTCCTAGCACAATCATAGGCCTAAAAAAAGAAAAGAGATAAGTAATTGGTAGACCTCTACATTTGAGTATTTAAGGAACTAAGAACAAAGGTTAAAGTGGAATGTATATATTTACTATCTCGAATAGGATGATTAAAATATAGGATTCTCCCAATTTTTTACACAAAAATGGAAAATTTATTCTCCCGAACTATTCTACATAGGGGAGTCCAATTTTTTTTCAGAAGAGGGGGGCAAAAACAAATATTTGTGCCGGTATTCGATTAAATTATTCGTAAGAGGATGCCATACCATGGAAGAAAATTTTCATAGCAAATTCTCTTTCTCCTTCATTACAAATTTAAAAGAAGGAAAAAGTAAGTTCAGGTAAACCTAGAGTTTGTCATGAAGTTTTAATTGCTGAAAAAAATACTTCAAATATTAAAATGCAAACAATTCGGAGGCATTCAAGTAACACATATGCATATTTTTGGCAATTTTGAATACTCTCTACCCACCCTGTCAACAAAACCAAACAATTAACAAACCCCTTACATGCTTAAGTAAGAGATTTGGAATAGTCCTTGTTTCTTGTTTTGATTTTGACTATTAATATAATAAACTAAAGCAATTTTGCGCAAAAAAATTGCATTTTAAGAAAATTACCAGTAGAATATTCTTCAGGAATCTTTTGTCGTTTTCTCCCATGTTCTAAGATCTTGACTTCTGAAAACCTTCAAGATCTCTTTCTTTCTCTTTGTATTGTAATTTTTTTCTTCATTTTGGAAAAAAATTTTCTTTTCAAAAAAAAAAATTTTTTTTAAGGTTTTGTGTGGACTTTGCTATTACTTCACCTCTCCCTTTGCTGGAAAAAACAAGCAAATCAAGAACCCCTTCAACCTGTTTGGTGCTTATGTAATATTTGAGCAACCACTTTTAAGAAAGTAATTTTATAAAATTGTAACTATAAGAGTTTGGTGTTTTCTCTAATAAATGTGTTTTGGGAGTATTTTGTTGCTCTTATTTAATTCCTATCCATTTACTCAAACCTGATGTCTATATTCAACTTTTATAGGGGGAAAAAAGAGACTGGGTCAGAAATAGTTTGTCTAAAGTAAGAACTCCCCATGCCATTCATCTGAACCCGAGGCGGTGACTATGATAAAGAGGTATAACCACTTCAAAAGAAAGGGAATCTTTTTCTTCGGTCTATTGTGTTAGTCCTAGAGTGAAGAGATGGTATCCTCCCTGAAATGCACTAATTTTGTTTCCATAGCAACAGACAGCTTCAGATTTTGTGGCGGGGGGAGTTCTTACCGTAGACAAACTATATATTCTTAAAGGTTTGGATTTACTATCATAGAAATAAAACCTGCATGTATCCATAATACTAAAATTATCACAAAGAAAAATAAATTAAAAGCTTTGTCCCAAATAAAAAATATTCAATTTCCATCTTGTAAAATTTCTATCTTCATAGGATAAAAAAGAAAATTTTGATTACACTAAGAAGAGTTGGCTAAATTAAGTAGAGTGATGTGCATTTTATTTAGAGAGAAAACAAAACTGCTTAAGTAATGAAAAGAATATTTTTAAATAAAAAACAACATACCATCCATTCACTTGAGCATTTGCCATACCGCCTAATGCATGTATTAATCCTGGTCCAGGGACAACAACACAAAGTCCAGGTCTTCAATACATGGAATATAGAATATATTGTTTATGCACACAAACAGAATAAAACTTTTCACTCAACATGTAGTATAATAGTATCACAAAATAAAATTATTCACACGACAAAATGAATTCAAAATATCTATTCTAAGCTCTGTTCATAATCATATTTGGTCCCCATTGAGACAACTATACTCTTTGTAATATTTGCCTCAACATTATATGATTCCCTCCCAGCTGAACATACTTAAAACAAATAACGCTGTAGTAAATGAAATAGTTTAATAGAAATATCATCCTTAAATACCCCATAGATTGCACTTTGAGTGGTTACCATTTTTTAAAAGACGAAAATAAGAAACAAAATTCTCTGTATTTTCCCAGTTTGCAAACAAAAAAAAAATCAAAATTCCCTGCATTTTCCCAATTTTTAAAGAAAAACTCAAAATTCCCTACATTTCCCCTATTATTTTAGGTGATATTTAAATCCCTTGTATTTTCCAAGTTTTTCCCTATTCTCTCAGCTGAGTGGCAACCCTCATATTATTGTGAGAGCTGTTAAATTTCATTTGGGTAATGAAATTTTAAAAGTAATATAAATTAATTTTTAAAAAAAATTTTGATATATCACAAAATATTAATATTTCTTAACCTAATTAATTATTAATATTTCTTAACGATACATCTTCCAGGACCAGTCACTTAACAATCCTGGCAATAATCTTTCTTTAATACGAGTCGTGTGTTCTTTAATCATTTTAAAAGAAGTAAATGGAAACATTTAAGGAAAAGATAAAGAAAGATCACAACTATGGGTGCCACTCTAATAATATTTCAAAGACAGTTAAATTCTTCTCTGAAATATTTTAATTAAAATAATTAAAGAAAGTATTTAGAAATAGTTTTTTTTCTTCTTTTCTGTAAATGAACTGAAATTTTTGAAAAATAAACACTAAATTATGTTACAGTCAATAATTGATATAGGGTAAACTAACCAGTGAAGGAACACTCAAGCTTCGCTTGCCTTTTAAAAAATCATATTAATTTCAAAATTCGTAATTTCAGTTAAATGACAGTGTCAACATATTTGTTACTAATTGCAAACTCTGCAAAAAAACTGTAGAGAACTTACATAATATGGTTTTGAAGTTTTGGAGGTTCAAATAACAAGTAGTAAGAAGACCCAGTGAAGGAACAGCTCTTACCAGTGAAGGAACACAAAATTGCCCAGTAAAGGAACACTTAATTTTGGTTATTTTTTAATGCTCTTTATGAATTTTTAAGCCATACAAATATTTAAAAACAAGCCTATTCTTGAAATTATAACATATAAATACTTGGAAAATGTTAACTTTTTTTTGTAATCATGAATTGAAAATTAAAGTGTCAACATATTAACACATACTGTTCATTCACTGGGAAATCTATGCCCAGTAAAGGAACATGCCTGTTCCCTCACTGGTTAGAAGTTGTTTTTCGTATTTTTAACATACTTTTGATGCGGAACATCACTAAAGGTACAAGAAAATTAAAGTTTATCTTTTATTTTCATTAACTTAGAAAAAAAACCAGTAAAGGAACACTTGTTCCTTCACTGGTTTTTCATCGTTTGGTGATCCAGTGAATAAACACCCCCTTATCTCAGTACTTTATTATGCTATGATGCTTAAAAAAAATAAAACGTAACTTCAATAACTATATTTTGAATTCTCTTTTTCACAGTGAGAAAAATAAAACTATTACATGCAATTAATTCCACTTCAAACATATAAATACAAACACTCACCTTATAATTTTTTCAAAGAAACAAGGTGTTGCAGAGATAATAACAAATTCAAAAATTTTTCCAGAGAAGTCTATTTGACCAGGTAATCCAAAACATTGCTAGATGACTTCCTATTGTTTGGCAGTAAGCTATTGTTACCAATCAATCTGAAGAAAAACTTTCAAATTCTTATTTTTAGTCAACATATATGAAATGTTCCTTCACTGGGTAGTGTTCCTTCACTGGTTGGTTTACCCTAATAAAGAAACCTCCGGTTGTGAAATTTTGAAACATATATCTTAATTAGGATTTCATTATGAATTTTAATCATTTTTTTAAACATAAACAACATTGAAAGACAATTATTTATTTTGACTTAAAATTTTTTTGGGTCCAGTTAAAATAATAATGTAGAACTTAGCCCAAATTTAGATTTTTACCAACCAGACTACAATGAATAAAGATTTAATAAAATTTTATAAAAAATAGTAATAATTAAATTTTAAATAAAATTTAAAAAAAGAATTAACACAAAATTTTGAATACAAGAATAAAAAAATTTAAAATATGTTATGATTTTTAAAAATTTACCTCTTTGTTAAATACCCTACAGCACCAGCAGCATATGATGCCTATAACAAATTTAGAAACATGTCAGAATTCATCAACATTAGTATTTTACTATCTTTAAAGCAATCTTTCATAACACATCACATTACCAACAAAACATAATGATGACAATAAAATCATCCGACGGACAAACAAAGAGTCGTTTTTAAAGGTAAAAAGTTAAAGGTTTAGAAACACCAACTCTTATATCAATTGAGTTTCACTTTTGCCAGATAAAACACTCATTTCAAGACAACAAAAAAACTTAATTCTAAGTATAATATTAATGTATTATTATTAATGGATGTCCCATAAAAAATTTGCTAAAATTGTTATGGAAAATTTACATATCTATAGAGATCAATTTCATAATTCTTTTTGAACTTCAAGATTATGGACTGCGCAGATTCACTGCAAAATAATGCAGTTGTTAATAATATAAATAATGCAAGTCTACTTACAGCTTGCTCATTTCTCATCCCTATATATTTGATACCAACTTCTTGCAAAGCCGTAGCAACTTCTACTATTGGTATCCCAACGACACCAAATGCATACTTGATACCCTGAAAATAAAGAATTATTCTAATTATACCAATCAAACAATATAGACATTTTAAGTAATTGCTTTAAAAAAAATGCATTCTAATTTTGTTAAGTACAGTGATTTATAACGAAACTGAAAAAAAAAATTATAAATATGCGTTATAAGATAACATAATAAATAGAACCAGTGAAGTTAACAGAGCTTTCATGTTGGTCTATAACTAGTTTTGACTATATTATTCTAGAATTTAAAAAAAAAAGAACTCTTGCCAATCTTGCTTATGATTCGCAAGAGTTTGTATTTTGAACTCTTGAATAAATCCAAGTTTGTTCAGATTGTATTGAATGCAGAACTCAATTTAAAATGACTAGAATCAGCATAAACTAATACTGACACTGAAACAAAATTGAGAAAAGAATGTATCGTTGGTTAATGAAACACATGGTTATCTAAGAAGATAAAACACTTTAAAAGACAAAATTGGCATTATAGAGTAATGTATAATGATATATTATGCTAAAAAGATCAATTAACCAATTTAAAACTTAACCTCAAGTAAAAAAAATAATAATAATTTTAAGAAATGTAGCTTATCAGTCAATGTAATATATTTGTTTAATTTTTAAAAGTTTTATAAACTTAATAAAGGACTACATACAAAAACAGTTCTCGCTGAATTGAATATAAGATCTAAAATATGCTGTGTTTTCTTCCTTCTTATTTTCCTCGTATAGAAATAGATAAGTTCAATAGAATAGTTCAATAGAATAGAATAGTTCAGCCAATAAAATTGATCTAATATAATCCACGGAGAAACTTGGCATTAAGAGCTAATCATCTTTAAAATCTCAGTATTTAGACACTAAATTAAATTTTAACTTTCTTTTGTGTCCCTTAATAAAATGTATTTCAATAATATTGAAATGGATATTATCTGCATGAAAGAAAAACATACACATCAAATATATAAATACACAATACATAGACATTATATATATATTTAAGTGTAGCCTGGTTGGTAAGGCTTTGATCCCTGCCGGCCGAAGATTCCTTGTGCAATAAATGGTGACTGGTGCACATTAAATCTGTCAGGTCACAAAGTCCTCCATGCTCCCTTAAGAAAATCAATACTTCTGGGAATTCTAAAGTGGAGATTGATTTTTTTCTAGTTCAAGTCAAAATTACGATCTGTTGATGAATGCATGTATGAATGGGTTCACCCTATAAAGTCGTATTCTTGGCTCCACCGAAAAACAAGAAATGCTCCCTCTGCCTTAAATTTGCTTGGTATCAAAAAGCAGGCTTGCTGGCATTGGCAATAGAAAAGTCTTCCACGAAGGCAAAATTTCTCCCAATACTCGATCCAGGAGTTCCCTTATCTTCTGGATTGGGTTAAAAATTACAAGACTACAGAGTTGAGCATTAGTAGTCGTAAACTCATAAAATTGGGTTGGCTGTTCAACGATGGTTATAAAATAAAAGGTGGAATTAAAAACAACTACAACACATACGTAAGTTTCCTCTAGGTGAATATTAAAAATAATTGTTTATAAAATCATTGTTTACATAACCATAACTAAATTACGAAAAAATCAGAGTACAACACTACATTTTAAGAACTACTATTAAAAAAATAAAATTTCTTTATTATTTAGGAATTTAGGTTTATACATCGCCACAAAGAAGCTTTAAAAAAAGACTCGTAAATTACATATAGGGGAGAGTGGCTCACCTTGGGACACTTTTTACTCTCTTTTTTTAAATTTTTAATATTGATCAATTATTGTCAAAATTTCACCTGGTATTCTTGTAACATTTGAAATCATTTTTACTAGGTTTTGATTTTGTATCTGTCTTAGAAAACATTTTAAAAAATGTTTAGTTACTTTGTTATTTGTCCCAAGGTGCATCTCCTAGTGGGACACCTTAGAACAGTCAAACAGATGTGAAATGTAAAGTAGAAATTTTCAAAAAATAGTATAACTAAATAAATTTACATTTTCTAATTTTGTAACTAAAGCTTTATTTTGTTAGTTTCAGGTTTTCATATGCAAATCCAATTGTTCAGAATCAAATACCAAACCTAAAGAATGTTTAGTGCTTTACTCCACTTCTTAAGTTTTATCAAAATGTCATTTGAATCTATCTATGATTTGTCTTTTTTTTCGGGATACATAAATAAATGTTGAAGATTGATTCACTCTTCTCAAAAATGATTAACACTCATCTCCATCAACTCTTTCAACGAAATCTACAAAAGCAACAACAGTTCTTTGACCAGCAAAATCTCCAGCATATTATCTTGTTTCACCACTTTTTTCCTTAACGTTAAATGTTTTGTTGTCTCTTGCACTGTTCATTTCATCTAAGCAGCAAGCATCATCATCACTGTTATCATTACACAGATCAGCCATTAGGTACTGGTTTTCTTCCAGATGTATTTCCCACCTATTCTGAGAGCATTAAATCCTCATCTTAGAGCTGAAACTGTTTAAACACTTTTTTTGCCTTTTCTATACACACATTGTTTTTGTTTTCCGGGGAGTTCTTTTTATTCTTAATAGCATCTTCAAGTGCCTTTTCTTGAGATGCGTCTACATAAATTGCTGATCTTCTCCTATTTTGACCTCGGTCATTTTCTTTTCGAGGTGCAGCAATAGACGACCCTGTAAATTTGAAATGTAGTTAAAGTTAGAATTTGGCTGCTCTCTTTTCTTAAAGGAAATAATATGGCGGTTCAGAGTGGTTTTATTAATAATGTAGAATTCAGCAGCTTTTCAATAAGGCATTTCTCCTGATAAAACGTTTGCAGAAGCTTTTTCAACATTGTTAGCAAGAACTGATGCATTATTTTTATACTCTTGGCTTCTACTTCTTGCCATTAGTAAAGTCAAAATAAGTTCCTAAAATAAGAAATAATAACTATTAATTAACACAGATTATATAAATGAAAAAATATTCTGCTTGAACAATATCTCTTTGTTAAAAATTTATTTTTAATAAGGATTAATTATGTATATCTAGTGTCCCAATGTAGGCCACCTCCATCTGGCCCATGGTGCACTATTTACCTAATATGAAATTTTAAAATATCATACTTTTAGGTTTAACATTAGAATAATTAAATTTACTAATTTCTAACTGGAAAGCTTTATACTTCATTATAATACCCTTTATTAAAAATAATTACATTAAAATTTCTTTCTACTACTAATTAAACTTTTATATGAAAGTAAGTAAACATGCTTCAAAAATAAATTCTTACCTGCTTAATCAATAGAATCAAAATATATTCCAAAGTTAGATGACGTTGACATCCATCTGCATCTAAAAAAAACATCTATCTGCATCTAAAAAAAACTAAGAGATAATTTGAAATTCTAGGCCAAAAATAAAAATGTCCCAAAGTGTGCCACTCTCCCCTAAGGATAAAAATGATAAAAGTTAATTCTTAAAAAATATTTCTTAAAACATATGCATCTAGAGATGACTCAAGTTCAAAGTTAATTTTAATTCACAGAAATTCTAGTAGAAAATAAAATAAGAAGTACTCTGTTATTAAGCATTTTAGGCTATTAAAAAAATAATAAATATTTTTGAGAATAAAAACTTCGCCACTTCCAATTCAAACAACTTATATTTATTCAAAAAATAAAGACTCTAATAATATACTTGGGTTTTTAAAGACTTGGCAATAACTCCGAGTGCAGCCATGGTTTCAATACGAAAATATCCCCAAAGAAGTGAAGGAACTAAACCAATTATCTCTGCAAATATTGATGGAATAATTACCGATGGCTATAAAGATAAAAAGTGATTGTGTGTTCGCCAATTGAAGATAAGAGGTACAGAAAAAGCATGTGATTATCGTAGACGGAAAAACGTAACTAAACAGTCGTTAAAATATTTTTGTTTACGTCTTACCAAGCCTCTATTTGTGCATTTCAAGGCGGAGGAGCCATAACTTTGTTCACCAGTCAGAAAAATACCATTCACACTGCATGGAAAAAAAATCACATACCCGAATTCGGAGATGAAATAAATTTCAGCCATCAGGTTCTTGTTTTCTTTGTGATCCGCACAATTTTTTGATAATTTCTATTAGAGTCAAAGTTATGAAAATAAAATTTAAAACTGAGTGATATTACGTAAACATTTACAAGTATGAAATAAGTCCAATGAAGTATGATGAAAATCATTTCCTCTCCATTCCCGAAAGTTGTGATGTCATTTTCGACCAATAGCGTGATCCAGTCACTTGGAAATTTAATCGCTCAATGACGCATGTCCTTTATGAGCTCTAGCGCAAGTGTGTTGAGGATGGATAGTCTTAATTTTTATTTGTAGTCTAATTCTACCAAGTGAGGTAGAAGTTAAAGTATACATCTGAAACTACTGACATTTGTTGAACTTAAATTCTTTTTCATTATCGAATTGCTGATTTTACGCTGAAAACTGTTATTTTTTAATTGTTTCAGGAGCGTCTGAGAGATTTCGCTAATTTCTAAGAGTAAAAACATGTCGCTTTCATATGTTCAATCGCCGAAGGCAAGACCATCTCCTTCGCCAGCTCAAATACAAAAGGTAAATTTTTATTTGCTTGCTTATCGTATTTTTTCTGTTTGTGAGGTCAAGACATATGTGTTATGCAATTGGTTACTAGTGATCTTTTTGTTGTTTTATTAATCAATGACGTTAAATCTTGGAAGCATCCCAGATATTGTTATGAAACAAAATATTTTCTTATGATGAAGCATTGTTGTGTTCAAGAGAAATTTCTTTTTACTATCTCCATCTTCGCCATTTCTATAATTTCGTACAAACCGTAATTAGAAATAAAAAACCTTAATTTTATTCATGTTTAAAAGCAAGTTTAATTTGAACTGGTGATCTCTGAAATAGTTTTAGGGAGGGGGGATATTTCTGTATGTGAAATATGATCGCCAAGGTGCCAAATAAACTTTGAATGCAGAGGACTTCAAAAGTTTTTTTTTTTTTTTCTTTTCAAATTGTAGTTGCATGCTTCATAGAAAGGAGGAGTTAAAATGAGAGTAAATGAAGTTTATTTAACATTTAATGAATAAGATGATTGTTGAGATGATTTAATGAATAAGATGATTAAGCCGAATGTTTTTGTATTTTTATTTTCAATTATTTAAAATTAACGTATTGGGGGGGATTAAATTAGGGATATTTCCGTATTGTGATCAATTACAATCGCCAAGATGCCAAATAGTAACTTGCAAATTTTTTAAAACAAAAACACATAGATGTTTGCCTAGAGGTGGCTACAAATTATACCTTTCGAGTTGGTCCCTTTCTGTGATGTTTTTTTTAGTTTCTCACTGGCCACTGCCCAGAAGTTTCCAAGACTTGGCAATAATTCTGCCACAGATCACGATACGGAAATCTCCCTGTTAAATTGCAGTTTTACATATTTTCATTTATTATTGTATAATATTTTTTGCACCAAAATTTAGAGTTCTTGACATTAATTGTCGAAGCTAAAATAGAGTTTAATGTCAAAGTAATTCATGAATACAATTGATTCTCATCTCTTGCAATTTTATATGAATGATATGTAAATACTTTTTTACTATAATAGATAATTATAATCCTTACATCAAAATTTTGGATTTTTGTCTAAAACTGTCAATATTTTGACAATGCGGATAAAACCATGGATACATCCGGATCAATTGTCAAAAACTTGCCAACCCTAAAACTATCATGTGGGTATATTTCCATTGCATGATCTGCCAACTACAACCACCAAGGTGCATAAAAGATTTTAAACTTGCAATCTTTTTCCCTTTTTTTTAATTTTTTAAATCCTTGTTTCTACATGTTTCTTTTTTTAAAAAAAAAAAAGAAACATGTAGAAAAAAAAGAAACATGCTTTAGTTTGTCGTGGGTGGGAAAGTGTCAAGACTTGGCAATTATTCCGACACTGTTCACATCATGAAAATCTCCCCTATCATATGTCGCTCCTCATTTTATGCCAAATCAATATTCATTAAGATGCTGTTTTGATTTATATAAATGATCGGTTCCCAGCCTTTTTTAGGTAACTACCAATTTTGCAAGCCAAAAAAAAAAATTTTTAGCAAAAGTTTATTTAAGAACATTGTTTTTGAAAAAAACTTTTTTAGTATTTTTGATATTGTTCACTTTTAATTCTATTGCTATTTTAATGAAAATTCCTACCGACATATGAATTTAATGTAATACCTATTTATTTAACTTAAATAATTGATTAGATATTATCAATTTAAATATTAAACTACTTATTATCTATGGGTCTGAAAAAAATATTAATGTAATTAGTTAAAACTGTGATCTTTCAATGCTTCTTGTTAAGGGCGTGATTTACAGTAGCCACTCACCAAGTGGAGAATAGAGTGGCTACCGAAAAAATTACCATCATTTGCCACTCACTCGCCACCTTCTCTTTTATCATTTAACACCCCATACTCATCTTTTCTTAGTTCTTGGGAAAACATTCACATAATGTGCATAAAATCATTAATTTTAACTAAATTTTATTAAATACATTAACTCACAAGTGGAAGATAAAGTGGCCATAAAAAAAAATTACCATCATTTGCCACTCACTCGCCATCTTCTCTTTTTATCATTTAACACCCCATACTCACCTTTTCTTAGTTCTTGGGAAAACATTCACATAATGTGCATAAAGACATTTATTTTAACTAAATTTTGTTAAATACATGAACTCACCTAGTGGAAGATAAAGTGGACACCAAAAAAATTACCCTCATTTGACACTCACTCGCCACCTTCTCTTTTTATCATTTAACACCCCATGCTCACCTTTTCTTAGTTCTTGAAAAAACATTCACATAATGTGCATAAAAGCATTAATTTTAACTAAATTTTATTAAATACATGAACTCACCAAGTGGAAGATAAAGTGGCCATCAAAAAAATTACCATTTGACACTCACTCGCCACCTTCTCTTTTTATCATTTAACACCCCATGCTCACCTTTTCTTAGTTCTTGGGAAAACATTCACATAATGTGCATAAAAGCATTTATTTTAACTAAATTTTATTAAATACATGAACTCGCCAAGTGGAAGGAAAAATGGACACCAAAAAAATTACCATCATTTGCCACTCACTCGCCACCTTCTCTTTTTATCATTTAACACTTTCTTTGAAACATATTTCCCTCTATCATACATCATGCGCATATCTGCCTACTCGGGGTTAGTAAAGCGCTGCATGCATAGTTAGATAATATGGACGCACGCCATACGCAGATAGATGCATTAGTGGTGATTCTCCAATTTTGCAGATACTTTTTTAGTATTTATTGTAATATAAAAAAAGTATCCTTAAAATGAAAAAGATTGCAGTGGGGTGGAGCTTCCAGATAGTTTTGGATTGTGTGCGCAGATTGGTTGATTGCTCCTCTGTGGGGGGTAACTCCAATGAATAAGGCAATGTAGGTCTGTTTCCTCCAATGCTCTTGTGAACAACACTGCCTCGCTGCAAACGGAGACGTTTCCAACTGTGGGTTGCAGTGTAAATCTGAATCCTTGTGACGTCTCCCACCTTCTCTTAAAGTTTGTCCCAATGGTCCTGAGTAGGACTGAGTGATACATCGGAAAATATCGACATTATGTAATCATCATGATCCAATGTTTGGATTGTAAATTTTTCAAAGAATCGAAAATTGCGATTTACTGAGATACGCACGATGTTTCTCGATGCATTGTTGACATCGATGTCTATACTCGCAATTTGTCTCAATTTATCAATAAAAAGCGCAAAAATTCGAAATTACACATTTGCCAACTGAAAAATATTAGTGTAACGAACACCGCAATTCATCGAAATATAGTTTAAGTGATAATATACATTCCTCTGTTGAAGTCTTAACTTCACCCAGTGCTAGTCCTGAGATGGTATATGTATACTGTTTTCCATATTTGTTGGGGAAAGTTAAAAATGTTTAGATTTACCACTTTTGGAATAATCATTCTGTCATTTACAGATACTTTAGAATTGTGTGCAGAGATAGTTTATATTACTCTAAAGCCCCGTGGCAGAATCAGGGCGACATTGTCGCAGAATGTTACCGAGTTCTTGCAGAAAGATTTTTCTTTTGGGAAGTAAAAAATTAATAATTTTCTACAGAAATTTTCGAAAGATTTTATCTTTTCTTCAGAATTATATTCAAAAGATACCTTTCTCGCCCATCCGAGTTGAAAAAATGTGATTTTTTTATTCTCATTTACAGGGATGAGATTTTTCCGCTTTTTAGCTGATTTCCGCTTTTTTCACTTTTATCTCTTGAATTTCAGCTTTTTTATCAAAAATTCAGATTTTTCTATAAAGTGGCCATAAAAAAAAATTA